TGGGACGGGGCCCCGGGGGCTGGGGCAGGGTCTGTGCGAGGTGGGACGGGGCGGGGAGGAGGGCTGGGGCCACACCTGAGAGGAACCCCTGCCTAACTCGTTCATCTCGAGGGGAAAAACAGAAAGAACAGCAGCAAAAATACAAAAAAAAACAACCTAACCGACCGAACCAGGAGGAAGATACCCCAAGGAAGCGTCCGGGCAGGGTTTGCCCCCTGCCCCAGCCATACTGGGCAGTTAATGGTACAACAGGAACACCCCGCGGTGCTCACGTTTCAAACGAACAAATTGTTGAAAATACAGGGTTAAAAATAAAGCTGAACCAATTGAAATGACAAAGACACGCATTACTGGAAATAAACTGTTTAATTTGGCCGTGAATCCTATCAAATCATGCAGCTTCAGGGTCGGAGGGAGCTGAAGAGATGAAGGGAAGAAAGGAGTTTGTGGGAGGAAAGGCACAGGGGGAAAGAAGGCAAAGGTGCACCTGGCCAGGGAGTGGCAGGACAAACAGAAGGACTTGGTTGACATAAAGAAACAATGGGCACATTAATGAGGGTGTATAAGGTTAAAAAAAGAAAGAATTTATTAGCTGAACAATGTGGTTCGTGCTGTGTAGGAGAGGTAGGTGACAGGCTGCCTCACACTCCAGTGCACAGGGTGCAGCTGCTTCCAGAGAGAAGCTAAGACAACTGAAGAGATTGTGTTTGATCAATTTGAGCCTGACTCTTCAGTCTGACAACAGGCAAAAATTCATTGTTGTCTCAGCTAAATCAAACATTTTAGATCAATGACAGAATAAGTAAGGACGAGTGACAAGCACCTTTACAGAGGCATTTTGGTACAGATGCAAACTCACATTTTTCAGCATAAAATACCTGCTACACACATTTAGTTTGAGTTGTGAAGGTTGTACATTCCAGCTCACAACCTTCATAATGGAGAGGCTTCCCACGTAGTTCTGCACTTTAGACACAGCCCATATTCAATAGCAAGTCACATTTAACCTAAATAACTTTTTTATTAATAGCCACCCCATAATATGCTCTAAATTGCTTATTACAGCTTTTAGGAATTCTATGTTGCAGGGACAAAGTTGAAAAAGCTAAAACAGGCCAAATTTGCATTATTAGCTATACTGCAATTTTAATTAGTTGTTCTCCTGGGCATATTGTTGTATGTTTGTAAATAGAACGTTTGGGCTTTTAATATCTGACGGTCTTAACAGAATAAATATTGATTCTGTCCCCACACAAAATCAGTGTGAGTGGATCAGGATGGATCCTTAATGAATCCTTGGACGCTGTCAGATACAAACCTGAAAAATCTGACAGTTTGCAGACAGTGCAACAAGGATCTCTTGCTGGACAATGCCAGCTGTGACAGACATCTGAAGTTAAAAATTTCACCCTGCATTATCAGCAATCTAAATCCTCAAGAAAATATATTGTTCCAAGCAGAATTTTTGTTAAATTCTTAATTTATTTTCAGTTACTTGTATAGTCCTGAAATGCAATTGGCTGCTCTTGCTAATAAGAGAAAACATCCCTCCTACCTATAGGATACAAAGAAGTAGAATGGGATAAAATTCCTTTTACTCTGCACAAGATTGTCTTTCTAAATTACAGCAGTTACAAAATACACTATCAGACTCATTGTCCTTTAGAAAACAGGAAACAGATTAGCATTAAGAAGTGGTTTGTCCAAAATCACTCAATACATCAGCAAGAGATAACTAGAAACAACACCCTGACCTCTTAAGTACACATCCAAACAATGCAGCATTTTTCCCCTTTCACCTAGCTTTAAAAAGTAATGCTTCTTGTTTCAGTTTAAGATATAAGGTCCCAGCAGCTGCAGATCTGTCAATTTTAGTGCAACAGAAGAATTCTTAAGTATTCTCAGCAAGGAATAGCAATGCAGGTGGTATTACTTATGTGGGTTTTTTGCTATTCATGTTTCTTTAATCAGATTGTGGATGAAAATAACTTCTGTTTCAGGATATTATTGACTTAGACCTGATGGCTTGTTATCTGACAAAATCACCTTGAAGATTCAGGCTAAAGCATGACTAAAACATTCCAATACTGAAGTTCTAATTTTGCTAAATCTTCAAATTCTGAAACAGTCAATTTACTTAAATAGCTAAATGAAGCTTTTGAGAAGTGGGGAAACAACAGTAGGCAAAAAGTAGGCAATACAGTTCCAACAGCTGGATGCTATTTCTGTGAAGAGGTGACATACAGTAGGTGGCAAAGGATGGCAAGGAAGTCCATGTAAACCAAATAAACTGGTAAGCCCAAAAGCTGTTGTTATACCTCAGTATTAAGTATTAAGCAGAAGGGCTGGTATTCTCTTACTGAGGTATAACAACAGCTTTTAAGTATTAAGCAGAAGGGCTGGTATTCTCTATCACATCAAGTCTCCCGGCTTAGAGTCCACTCTGCTAAAGCAGACAGCTTTCTAAAGAACTCAGTTCCAGTCAACCTGGTGTATCAGGCATTAAATAAGCACCTTTATTGCCATTTTATTCCTTGACAACATTTCACAGTGATAGAACAAACTTAGCACTAATCCCCCATACATTATTCCAATACAGTTTCCAGTTACTTCAGATAATTGCATTGGAAATGTAACTGTCAAGTGGCTAATTCATCTGCTAGACATTAGATCTTCAGTCTTTTGAGTGCAATGGTATTCTGTGAATGCAACAGAAACTTTCATGTGGCAGAATTTCATAGCATAGGAAGTTAAGAGAAAGAAGGTGAAAAGAGGGTATCAAATTATTTAAGATGATTAGCAACCACCTTCAGTTTCATGACAAAGAGCTAAATGGACTGCACACAACTTGGACGGGAGTGTCCAACATGGAAACTTGACAGGGGACTTGAAAAAAAAGAAAAACAGGACAGTCCACTGGAGGTTTAAAATAGTCCCAAGAACATGTGTGAACCTGATACAATTAATGAAGATACTAGGTTGCTTAATCCAACTGATGTCCCAGTAAGGGAAAATAGACAAGGAGATTTGTGTCCCCTTAGGTGAGTGTAATAAAACCTGGCACTTCCGTAACAAAAGGATCAAAGACGTGTAAATGGTTGCTGAACTCCTGAACCTCTGACCAAGCACTTGACACCTTCACATACAGCAGAGATGCTGACAGACATGTTTATAAGAATCATACATGCTGGGTCAAACTAAAGATTTCTTATGCCCTGTATGCTGACAGCAGCCAGGAGGCTTACATATCCTCATAGATACATCTTAAGTATCTAAACATTTGGGCTCTGCAACCCTTTTGTGGGCAAAAACTCTTGGCCAAGAGTAGCCTGTGTTTTCTTTGAAGCTGCCACAACTCCTAATGAAGCAAGTGACAGCTGAGGTATTACTGTGAGCTTCAGGTAACCTCGATATTGAGGAAACTGCCTTCTGTGAAAATTAACCCACTCCCATGAGATTACAAGTGGAACATTTTATATTCTTTGCATTACATTTACATGTTGCTTTACAGCTTGCAACACCTTTTGAAAAAATAGGCAAAGAGTTCATACTTATGTACGTAAACTTTATTTCTTCATAATTACAGGCTATTGTTAGAATTTTTAAACAAAATGGAAGTCTATAAATAGAGGCTAATCCCACCCAAACAGATTTGGTTTTGTTTTTTTTTAAAAAAACATAGTTAAAACTTCATAAAGTAATGCCATTTAGCTCACAGCAGTGGTTTGTTGGTAGTCTGAATAAAAGTACTATAGTCAGAGTCAGTAACATGAAATGTAACACCAAATGACTCAAAACTTTAAATTCCGTAAAGGAAAGCAGGAATATATATATAATATATACATAAAACATTGTGTTGGTCCACTGAGCATACATTTTTAACAAAAGATAAGAAACTATGTAATCCAGTTAAGCATATGATTTGCAAGATTAGTGTACACTCATTACAAAGATGTATAGATAAGTTATAAGTATTTAATACTTGCAAAATTTTAAGTTATTTTTGTTGAGCAGATGTTTAAATGCTCATTTCCCAGTGCAAAAATAAAAAACATCTCAGTCAGGTTACCTGTTTTTCCTGAAAATTTGAAAATTACCCTCAAAATCGTGCAACAGCAGCATTGATAGGTAATGGGAAGAGCTTAAATATACTGAAGCATGGCTGAGTTCTCCCCCTTTTCACCCAGTGCTGTGTGTTAAAACACTCCAATCTCCTGAATAGAAATACCACAGGTCAAAAGTGCAAGAAAAAAATAATCTCTTGATGTTTATGCTGCTGCCATCCACTCTTCTTAGATAGGGCAAAAGCTTATTCTTTTTGGAATTATTTTAATGAAACTGATTCTCCAGAACAGTTATTTCAAAATGAAGAATAAGTTATTTCATTAAGTTATTTTCATTTAACATTCTATCAATCCTACTCTGACTCAGTGACCATAAAGAAATCATTCAGTTTAAGGTGCAACTATCAGTTGGCATTCAATAAATTACGTTACAGGAAACAACTGTGGTTAAAAAAACCCAACAAATCAGACTACCTGTTTTTTCTTTCTAGTCTCAATCCTCTTTCAAATTGAACTTACTTGCCAGTTCAGCTGCATACTTCACAGGCAAAAGTGGCTCAAATAGCAGTGGGGTCTCTAATTTGACAGTCCTCTTGGCCAACAGCAAATGCACATGAATCTTCAACTTAACTGCTTTATAAAACAAAACAACCTATGACCATGCAAGAAAAACATTAATTTCAGAAAGAAACACTCTTTAAGATTGTTGTGTTGTTGTTGTTTTTTTTCAAATCCAAATGCAGAATCTTCAATGAAGAGAAAAATCTATATGCATACATACAAAATGAAGCACTCCACAACTCTGGCATTACTAAAATCTCTTAAGAAGGATGAAAGGTTTCCAGTGACTAACTGCTTGATGGGAGCAGTCAGCCATGGCAGAATAATTGTTAGGTTCACTTTATGCTCAATTACCAACTGCTGACAATTACAGTCAAACTACAATCTCAATACCTGCATTTTAAACTGATTTGCTTACAGCTGGGAAAAGTACTTTGTTCTCCTGAAAACGTGAGAGAAACTTAACAGTTATTCAAACAATAACCAAAAGGGTTGAATTTAGCAGGAACATTCACACCACTTTCAGAAATTAAAAACCTTTCGTAGTTTCTTGTATATATGTATCTTCTGATTAACATTTAAATAGGTTAGGTATGCAGGAAAAGGGACAAACAGTTGTCATAAGACTTATTCTAAACTTCATGCTTCTGATATTTCAGATTTACTGAGTGCAATAGCCAGTTCCAAGTCTTCTTGCTCTTGTTGTTTTAGTCTTGCCAATCTTTCTTTCTCTTCTCTCTCACTTTCCCTCTTAGCCCATTCAATCATGTCTTCCTCAGTAGAATACTGCATTTTTAAAAGACAAAATAAACCAGATTAATAATACAATTATAACCTTGGTTTAAGGGACAATTACAGTTTTTTAAAAAGTGTATACATTCTAGTCTTCAAATATTACTTGCTTTTTAATTTTAATACAGTATTAAGATGATCTTACAGTCTAAGGTTAAACTATTAAGAACTGCAGAGAAGCCACCCAATTGATGTATTTTTATGGAATATACCACACCTCAAAATTCAGTACTAAGTTTCAAAAAAGTCGCTGTGCAGAAAGTAGTATAACTTAAAATTAATTTGGGTTAGAAACAGTCTATACAAGAAAACATTTTAATAAATCAGAAAACCAGTTTGCAAAATACGTTCCTATCCACATTGTGGGACATCCTAATTTACCCTACTTTCATTAGGGATGATTTTTCCAAGTGACAATGACTGCAAAAATTAGCTGTAGAATGACTGATTTTAATTCTGCAGATGGAAAAGACTTCTGCCAAGAAAGAGCAAAATAATAAGGTAACTGTACAGTTAGAAGCCTAGCAGCAATACAAAAAAATGGTCATTTTGGTACTACAGAAAAAGAAAAAAATAAGATTTTTTCCATGTATATTGATGTGAACAAAATTTCTGTGGTGCTACAATTATAAATGAGAGACAGTTAAGAATATTATCTCAAATAAAATACAAAATATTATGCTTATGTTTGTTTCTAGTCAGCATGCAGAAAAGCTAAGAGGTAGGTGAAGCCCATGTCTTGATGAATGTCCCAATGTTAAGTCTAAAAGGGTTGTCATAACACACTCCAGCTAGTTTCTGATTTGAGCTGCTGCTTTGGGAAATATCTATAGAAAAGCTTGAGGTTTCTCAATAGTTCACTTAGTATTTTCAGTAATTGAAGCCGGAAAATAATACTTTTTCCTTCATAAAGTAATTAACATTTTTGCTTTCTCCTCCATATTTCACACTGTCTTCTCCAAACTGGCTTGTCAGTCCCTCTAACTAGTAACAGTGGTAATAATAACAGCATTTCAGAAATTATCATGCTACAAGACACACCAAGTCAATTTTGAGACCCTGTCAATCCTCAAGTTTACTTCAATCAAGCACATGGTTTATTAGGCCTGAAAATTAAAAATGCAGTATGGTCAAGATACTGTAAATGCAAATTGCATTTAACAGGTATCAAGCTTTAAAGTGAGATGATGCCTTTCAAAACTCCTACTTGCAAAAGCTCAAAAACAAAAAAAAAATACATAGGAATGCACAAACCTTTACATTTGCTTCTACTGCTTGGACACCACGACTTCTATGAAATGGATTCTGGTTATAAAGAGACACTCACTACTTTTTACTTCATTGTACATAAGGCTGGAATTGACCAGCCACTCAAAACTCACCAACTTATATTTCATCAACATACACTGTAATGAGGCTGTTTATCAATATTTCAGAACACTGAAACAGTTCAGTGACAGCTAAATTAAAATCCCACCTTTTATTTTAATTGGATAGTTATCAGTGTCCTTGTTATAGATAAGTAATTTAAATCTGCTGCATGCTCTGACAAAATAGATAATCCCTAGAACACAGGTATTTTTGAAGTCCTATTTTCTAAAAGCTAGGAGGCCTCCATGAAAAAACTCACAAAAACAGTGCCATTTAAACATTAACTACAACACTTTGCAGTATTTTGTTTTAGGACAGCCTCAGCAGTAACCCGATTTGAAATACTGGTTTAACTGGAAGCAATATCCCTTTTGTACATGGGATGTTTTAATATTTTAAAATTAGACTGAAGACTTCAGTGTGAACAATTCAAAGCTGTCATTACACTGAAACAAATGTAAAAAGCGTTTACTCACAGTACTGAAGTTTGCAAAATTGTTGGGGTCAGTCTCTTTACTGATGCTGGTAGGAGCAAATGGATCACAGAATAGATCTGCTTCTTGTTCTTTGGGAATGTCTAGGGTGGGGAAAGGCTGAAATGGATCGCTCGGTTTAAAGGAATCTGAAGAGTCTATTTGATTGATAGGTCTTTTCCCTTAGATTAAAATGAATTTAAAATAAATTTAAGATAGCAGGTAATAAACATGCCAAAAATAGTTTAAAAAAGAAAAACAAATTCAATAGCTCCCTGGAATGCAACCACTTCTAGTAAACTAGTGGAGTTGCAATGACTTCAGAAGAAGGGTTGCCAATTTAAAAAAATGAGGGTATGGTCCATAGTTTATTTAACAGTAATCAGGTAAAAAGGAACACATCTGATAATGCTTCGAGAACAGAGTTACGTACCAATTAAGTATTTCGGAAAGAGAATTTCTAAGAGTATTCTCTATTCTAACAGTATTTCCTTCTGCTTATCAATTGTCCATGATAATTCCAGAAAGGCTCTTTCACTATTTGTTTGGATCAAGTTAACAGAATTTCATTTAGAGACCAGAAATATATTTGTAAGTCTTCAAAACACCATATCCTTTCACTATGCTAACACCTAGAATTTCTGTAGTTTTTAAACTACCAGAATGAAGGAGCATGGTAACAAGCAATCACAGCTTTAACTGTTCCATTAAACATTGCCTAAGTAGCTGCAGGTAGAACAGAATCAGGTACAAGCCCCTACTTATCTTGTCTTTTTTCATTTTAACCCCAGTCAGCTTTCAACACCTTGGAGGACATTAACCCAAGTACTTCCAAGAACAGTTAAGCTGGATTTCATACCAGCATTCTCCTCCATTTGTTACTGCTTACAGAAAAGGTTTTATTGCAGGTTCCTGAACTCAACTAAGTGGGTTCTGCAAGTGGTACAACACTTAGAATAGTCATATTTTACAACTTGCTTCTGTTGCCATTTCAAACTGCAGAATCAGACCGAAGTGCTTATTATTTCGTGCATCACTGTTGGAAGTTAGTCTAAAAATTCTTTCATAGACCAAAGAAATTCTAGTTTGGCACAGATTTATAGAACACACCCCCCTCCCCCCCC